TCTTCCCGCCGAGGAGCAGGAAGGGTTCTGCCCGGCGGGTGGGCGGGCTGCTTAAACTTTGCTCGGGCGGCACTTTAAAAGCCTGCTCCCAGCACCTGAGCAACTTCCCAGCAACTTTCGGCTTCCTTTTAACTCGTGGGCGCTTGCGCCTGGCCCCGAGCCGCGCAGCAGAGGGGAAGCCCGGTGGGCGGGCAGGCTGCTTGGAGGAGGTGACCCGGCGGTGCTCCGGCAGCAGCAAGAGGCAGTTTCGCCCGGGCTCCGCTCAAGCGTCCGGCTGGGGCTGTCAGGAGTTGCTACCGCCGGCGCAGCTCCGTGCAGCTCCAGTCCCGCGTTGCCTTGGGAAGGAAAAGGCAAAACCAGGAGCCGCTGAGCCTGAGCCTCCGGTGCCGCTGCTCCTGTTGCAAAGCACCGCCGCGGCTCTTCCTTTTTGCCTTTCCCTTCCCGAGGCAACGCGGGACTGGAGCCGCACGGAGCTGCGCCGGCGGTAGCAACTCCTGACTCAGGAGGCCTCCGAGGTGAGGGGAAGGAGGAGAAGAGGGGGGAGGGGGGGCGATTCCCAAAAAATCTTGTGCTGACCCGGCCCGTCTGTCAAATTTTAAAAGTCAATGCGGCCCCCGAGCCAAAAAGTTTGCCCACCCCTGCTATAGAGGTATTCAGAATTGAGAAAGATGCTAAATAATCATGCATAGTATCTGCATATTTCAAATTTTAAAATATAAGGTTTTTTTTAATCTGTAAAAAGTTTTTTTAATTGAAGATTTTAGTCTTAAATCTGGGTTCTGGAATATCATTTTTTAAAAAACTTGTGTGATATTTTAACATTTCTGTTAACAATATTAAACTAATAGAAGTATAATACTACTGCTTCTTGTAATTTTTAATTTACTTAAACTTTAGTTTTTAAAAATGAAACTTTGATAAAAGATAATGTTGATGTACATTATGTTATACCTAATTATTTCAAATTTGGTATAGATTCCGATCTAGAAAAATATTAAATATATTATGTTTCTAAAATTTGGACAATTCCAATATAAAGATATGTTACTTAAAAGTGTAGAGCTTTGATAAACTATCTAATTTGAATAAGCATGTTATATTGTATTAATTTGGATTGACCCACATTTTTATATAAAGTTGCTATTGTTCTTCATTTTGTTATAGTTACTCAAGAGCATTTTATATTAGTTTATGCTAATCAACCTTCGATCTCTCCAATCATCAAGTATTTAATTCTTTTCCAATATCTGACTCTTAGTAATTCTGGATATATAAATGTACTGTGAGATAAATATACAACTGTATAACTACAAACAAAACAAACTTACGATTTCCATGCATTGTTTCTTGTCTTACCCTCTAGTGCTTCAGAAAATAAGTTGCACCCCTCTTTTTTGTGGCAACCTGTCAAGTACTGGAACGCTGCTAACGTATCACCCCTGGTCCTTTTCTCTAAACAGGCAATTTCTGTAACTGTTCTTCATGTTTTTGTCTCCAGACTCTTAATCATTTTAGTTGTTCTTTGCCCTTTTCCCAATCTCAACATGTTTTTTGCAATGTGTAATCAAAACTGGATGGAGTATTTGAGATGTGGCCTTACTAAGGCTTTATAAAGTGGTATTAATACTTCACATAATTTTGATTCTGTGTCTCTGTTGATACAACCAAGGATTGTATGAGCTACCGCTCACCTGCTAGTTCATGTAAATGTAAAATCCTTGCTTTTCTCCAAATTAAATTTTATTTTATTGGATAGGGCCCTTTGTTCAAGTTTGTCAATATATTTTTGGATCCTGAGCTTGTCTTCTGGGGTGTTGGCTATTCCTGCCAGCCTAGTGTCATCTGCAGATTTGACGAATTCCCCTTCTATTCCCTCATCTAAGTCATTTATGAAGATATTGAAGAATACTAAGCTTAAGACAGAATCTTGTGGTATCCCACTGCTTACTTTCCTCCATGTAGATGTAATACCATTAAGAACTACTCATTGAGTACCAGTTACAAATCCATCTGGTGATGATGCTTTCTAGCCCAGACCTTAGAGACCATTAAATTCAATCTGCTTCCAGACCTCAGAGACCATTAAATTCATAATTTTAAAACCCACGGACCACTAATATAAATCCAGCGTGCCACTCGCTGAAATGCTTGGACTCCCAGTAACGGATGGGGTCCTTCAGGCACTTAGCTTGGCCGCCTGTTTCTGCAATCTTAAACACTCAGAGCCATTTGGACCCATTTCCCACAGAAAACAAAACACCGGGATCTTTCATCTCTCTCTCCTCCCCCCGTCTCTCTCTGTCTCTCAGTCTGTTTCACTCTGTCCCATCTTTTTCTCTCATATCTCATGTCTCTGTCTCTCTATCTCTATCGCTGTTTCACCCTGTCTCATCTTTTTCTCTCATCTGTCATGTCTGTGTGTCTGTATGTATGTCTGTCTCTCTCATTCTGATTCTCCGGCACTGTTTGGGTCTCGTGGGTGCTTCTTCAGCCTTTGTTGGTCCTGGACCTCAGTCACTTGGGGAGATGCACAACCTGCTTTCCGCCCCAAGACACTTGCCCAACCTGGCTGCAGCCGATGCTCCGCATCGTAATGGGCTCTGGGAGGAGGTGGGGGTGCCTCTCCCCCATTGTGAAGCATGTTGGATAAGTTAAGAAAGTTCAAAACATTCTCAAAGATCCATCTCATCCTGGGAACCCTTTTTTTGAACTATTACCATCTGGCAGATGATACAGAATAATAACAAGGACAAATAGGCTGAAAAACAGCTATCTCAGGGCAGTAGCTCTTTTGAATTATGCTGTATAGTGCAATGTTGGTGTGGTGTCTGGGAGGGGAAAACGAGGGGCAGAGCCAGCTAGTGGTGAGTTCAGCCAACAGGAAGCCACAGTAAGGGGACAAAAGAGGGTTGCCAATATCCGTTGTTTCGGCCCACTTGCGCTGCCACCCCCCACCCTTGTTGCAATAACACCATTACTTCATCCTGGCCATCGAGGGATGCCCTACTTGCACGTTCACCACCTGTAAAGTTGCAAGGTGCACGTACTTCCCTCTATGGCGGTGATTTCCAGCTCCAGCATGAGCTTCCTAGCTGGTCCCATATTCCAGAGCTCTAGTCACAGGACTGGCCCATTGGTCATCCCGGAGCAGCTCTTCCATCCGGGTGCACTATGGACCACCAAAATTTTCTCACAGATCACCAATGATCTATGGATCACCAGTGGTAACTCTGTTCTAGCCCACATTTTTCCAGCTTACCAAGAAGTAGGCTGTGGTCTATTCTGTCAAATGCCTTGCTGAACTTTAAGTATACTATGTCCACAGCATTTCACTGGTCTACTAATTTAATCACTTTGCCAAAGAATGACAAGATTGATTTGATCCATTTTTAAGAAACCTGTGCTGGTTTTTAGTTATAACTTCATTTGGTTCTAGATGTTCGCAGATTTGTTTTTTGATTATCTTTTCCAATATCTTCTCAGATATTAATGTTAGGCTGATTAGTTTGCAGTTTCCTGGGTCTACTTCCCCCCCCCCTTTTGAAGATGGAAACCGCATCAGCTGTTTTCCAATCCTTCAGTAATTCCCCAGTGTTCTAGGATTTTTGAAAGATATGTACAGTGATTCAAGGTTTGCTTGCTCTTTTAGAACTCTGGGATGTAATATGTCAGGTCCCGGTGACTTATATTCATCAATATCAGATAGGCCTTCCCTAACCATTTTTACTTTTCTAAATTTTTACTTCTATCCTTTAGGGTTAGGTTTTTGATAGGTTGGGCTAGTTTCTTTTTGCGAGAACATTAATGCAAAGAATAAGTTAAGTTCTACTTTCTCTCTACTGCCTATTCCTTCCTTGTCATCTCTCTTTAATGAACCTTCTGTTTCCTCAACTTTTTGCTTGTTATTTATTTTTATTTATAGTTATTTTTTTATTATTCTACTGCTCTTGATTCCCTGTACTCTATTGTGCCTATGGTCACCAATGTGGCAAAAGGATGTTTCTCTACC